GGAAGGAAGGAAGGAAGGAAGGAAGGAAGGAAGGAAGGAAGGAAGGAAGGAAGGAAGGAAGGAAGGAAGGAAGGAAGGAAGGAAGGAAGGAAGGAGCGATGAGTTACAATTTAAAATTTGATAACCGAACAAAATATTTGATAACCAAATAAAAATAATGCAACGCATAAAATGCTTACAGATTTCATACCAAAATCGAGGGGAAATTTGTGACTATATGGATAGACTATGAAAATATAAAATACCTATATTACAAATCTTTTCTCGTTGTTTTTTTTTTAAATCAGCTACATTCTTCTGTAGTTAGTTTTTCTGTTACAGTGAGGATATTTTATCTATCTTACCTGAATGCATAAGCAAAATGCCCGTGTGTCATGGCATATTTGCATATGGAGAACTCTTTTCAATGCAGAGCAGGATTCATCCTTGCTTTCTTATTAATATGAATGGAGTTAACGGACAGAAAAAACAGATAATAGTGTTACAAATTTGTCTTAAACTACAAAAGGCAAATTTATCAATTGAAAAACAGTCAAACTGGTTTGCTGGTCTTTCACCTGTGAAGGATTTGGCCCTCTCCTCACCTCTGATCCTTCTCAGTGTTAGCAYTTTCTCTTTAGCCTACTCCTTATTAATAAGTCTGCAGTCAAACAGGCCTATCATGTCTGTAATATTTTTTTCCCTAATACCTCTCTGTGTTTAAACTGCATTTAATATATTAGCCCCTATTTTAAAGCCTATGAAATGAGTTAAGTTTAGGTAGTAAATCAGTAGTCCTTRAGAAGCTGAAAACCTGCAGATTTTCCAAAGAAAGTGTCAATACAGATATCTTTCTAAAAACAGGTATTTTGGATTTTTTTCTGATAAGTCTTTAGATAAACAGTCTTATGAATACCCTAATAAAGCTTAGTTCTTGCTGCAGTACCATCAGTAATCCCTGAAGGCTTTGAGAAGTTCTTCTCAGGAGAGCACATTTGAAGATCAGTATTTCTTTCAGAACACAGATAAGGAATTCCTGACTGCTGTACTTGCCTCAAGAGACAAAGTACTGCGGATTATGTTGTACTTAAGCCATGAATATTGTTTGCTTTTGTAGCCTTTCATTTTAGGAGCATAAACCATGGCATAATTCACTGAGACACTGTCAGAGCAAAGAAGACAAATTTCTGAATAAAATCCTGGTCTGGCCTAGGACAAGAGCAAATCTCTGAATAACARCATTGGAGCAATGCTGCAATTTCACTCTTTGGCTTGTTTTGAATAATTTGTTTTGAAATTATTACTAGTTTTTTACACAAAGGATAATCTTTAACTGCTTAAATATGCCATAATGTTTTGTACATATAAYTAACACAGAAATTAATTTATAGTACTTAATATTGTACTAAATCTCCCCCTTACTGGGATTGTTTGTATTTTTTTTATGTTTAGGATGATTGTTTGATTTTTCATGTATAGGCTTAATTATTTTTCCATATATATACTAATTGAAAATACATAACTTCTAAATTGAAAGAGGATTAAACATTWATTATAAGAGTTATAACAACTGTAACAGTAAGTTGTAGTGATAAGAGGACCAAAATTATTTTCTGAGAAATGTTCTAAACCAAACGAAATATCCACCCTTATATAATGAGTGTTCATGAGACAGAGGTCATACCTACCAACAAACTGTGTCTTGAGTTTAGGTTATGCAGTTGCAGAGATTATAGAACTGTGTTGTTAAAGATCCCTTCAAATTCCCAAAGGCTTCTGTTTTACAGATGTTTTAAGTTGTAGCCCATGACATGTTTTTTTCTGGTGTCATCCTTGATTTGGAAGTAAAAGTAGAATATAGTATCTTCCACATGAATTTGTATTTTGAGCACAGTTTCCATATTTTTGTATACTTTTGTTGGGCCATTGGAATTAAAATGCACATTCTTAGAGGACTAATAGAAAAAGGGAGAAATTTCACCTATTAAGACCTCCAGTGTGATTTCCTACATCGTCTGATATTCAGCAGTATCTAAGTATGTTGCAGTTAATATAGAAGTTTCAAAGACCAGCAGTCTGATGCCAATTCTCACACAGTCTCCATTATCACATTTTATGTATAGTTGAAGGTTTTAGAGACCTATAAAGTTTTGTCCAAGTGAAAACATTTGTAATGTGCAGTATGTCTGTCCAAGCCATTAATTCTGTGGAGAGTGGAGATTGCAGTAGTTATAGAACTCCCATGTTATTTTAACAACATTTTTGGCATTCTGTAATCCGTAATGTTGTGTTATAATGGTAAAAAGGATTTACAACTTGACAAGATCAGGAAAGGTGTTCWCACCACCTGCTTATGACATGTAACTGGGGGAAGCTGCCTTTCTTCACTGTTTACAGAGCTTGGATTCTCTGCTTTTGKTTCCCTGAATCACAGCAATGCCTGATGACTACTGAGTCAACAGTCAATAGTGTGAATTTCCTCTGAACTCTTCTTATGATATCCTTAAATTTCGCAGTAGCAAAAATGCCTTCAARTTTTTCTTTCTGAAATCAAGCAACAGTGTAAAATTGCCAGTKCAACTCAAACAAATAAATCACAGTCCCTCTGTCTTTGCAGTTAAAACCCCGGCTCTCAACAATGGTTCCACTGTATTCTCTGAAGACRGCAAGAGATTACGAGATAAGGATCCGATCAAGACAAAGAACTTCTGAAAAATTCGGGGAGTTCAGTGAAATCCTTTATGTATCATTTTCTCAAATAGGCATTGGATGTGATCATTGTGCAGACGGTAAATAAGCAAAGTTTCTTATAGCTTTATATGTCTCTTTGGTGACAGGGCAGAGGGGTGTTTTCCACCTTAACATTGATGTTGTATGGTTGAAYGGATAATTCAGCCTACAACGTGAGAATCGTTTAGTGAGATTGAGAATGCTCATTCAGAAGTTCAGCAGTAAACTCAGCAGGACTTGTTTCACAGCTCATCAGAAAGCAAAAGTACAAATAGCTTTAAAATCAAAAATAACTGCTGTTGCATATCTCATAGAGCCTAAAAATTAAATCTCATTCTTCATCATCTAAAATGAGCGCTTCGGTTGGGAAGAGAAGAATTGTCATTTCTTGTAATACCGTTGGCTAAGTTTGTTTCCAGAATTAYGTGCTTTTCTGATCATCCTGATACGATCAAGGGCAGTGAGTGTTTTTCCCATTCTTGCTTCTGACTTGTACTCATTTTAAAGTGTTTGTTAARGACAGAAGAAGAAGCAGCCATTGATAATCACATCTTTTCTGTTGAAGGAGTGAGACAGTGCCTTTTCTGGAAGTGTTCTCAGTCTGAGCTACCAAATTAACTCAAAATATGAGATCTTCATCAAGCAATTTTAACAAGCTTCTTCACTTACTTTTTTAGGGTATTAGTGAAGGTACTACATAAAGCAACCTGTACACTTACCTTTCAAAATCTTGCTAAATTCTCATTTTTAGCTCTTTGTATTACTAGTTCTCTTTCCTAATTTAAAGGAACAGTTAATGTTCTGTACACATGGCATTATTATATTAACCCCATCCTCATGAAATGGTCAAGGTTTTCATATTAGTGAAATTAAAATACTAGAAAAATCTAAGGCCATCCTACAACCAGTATTCTTCAGTCACTGACATTCAAATTCTCTGAGGTGATCCAAATCCACACATCTCACACAGCAGCGAAATAAGCTGATTTGACTCRGAATTTATTTTTTGCTTGTTTTGTATATCACTTTAGGAACACAGAATTAAACTTTAGAAACCTTTCATGTATTAATGATTTTAAGTCTTCTAATGCAATGTTCTAATTTCTTGAAGCAGCTGGACATGGGCTGGTCTCACTGACATGGGAATAAGTTAGTAAAATAGAGACCTGTTTAACGCAGACATATCCATGTAGGACTTTATTGGTGATTGAAAGCGTGTCTGGTCAAAATCTGAGCCAGGAACACAGGCCTCAAACTTGTACCTGAATTTTTTATTTCCTTTCTTCTCTGAAAGGTCCTTTATGATTATGTATAGTGTTCTAAAGCTTTTTGTCCAGTATCTCTTATTCCCCCCCAAAAAATGCAATTTTTATGGAAAAGTTAAAATTAGGGAAAAACATGACAAAAAAAATTAAGAATAAAGCTAGAATAAATTTCTCWATGTAATCTACCATGTCATATTAAGTACAATGCAATTGCTAGTATTTAAGAGATAAAAAATTTCATTCATCATCATTGTTCTTAATCTCTACAGAATTACATTTCTCAATTAACTTCTAAATTCTTCGTAGCCACCTGCAATGTAAATAAAAGAGACATGATTTCTTTTTCAGTTGATTTGGTCAGTTCACAACATAATTAATGTTCGGCCTTTAGAAAGAGAATTGTTTTTCCTTTTTTGCTCTACTCTACCTTAGTTTTTGTGAGAGAAAAATAGTTTTCCTGTGTTTTAGTGTGCTGTTAGTAATGTTCTCTCAGCTTGTRTGAACAAGGAGTAACACGGTCTGTGGCATTATATGCCATTAGGACTACTAACACCATGTTCCAAGCAGTTCCTCATGGCTGTTTTTTTCTATAGATATTACCTTTACCAAGATCTTGTTTCCATTTATTAAATCAGTCTGGTTTTGCAAGGGCTCTCAGTGAACTCATAAATGCATGGAAGCTACTGAGACCAAAATCCGTCATGGATTAGSACTCAACTCACTGAGAATGTCACAAACCACACACCACTCACTCAGTCCCCCCTTCCCCTCTCTGCTCCAGCAGGATGGAGTTGAGAACTGAAGACACAGAAAGTGAAGATCATGCRTTTAGATAAGAGCGATTTATTGGGAACAGCAATTACAATAGAAAACAAACAGTAATAACAATATTAATAGCAAGAGTATACAAAAGAGGRGATACTTCACATGCAGAGATGCTCACTGCAGAGACACCAAGCAATGTCAGACAATGGCATTACATTTTTTGATCAGAAGCCACACCCTTCTTCTTGGAAGCCAGAGAATCCCTTTGTCCACCCCTGCAGTGACATGAGATGGTATTGAAGAACCCCGAAGACCTGGCCAAAACTACGACAAAGTAACATTTCTATTTCTGCTGAATACAGAATTTAAGCATTTAAGTAACAAAAAATTCCATCACTTTTTACCACTTTGGAGTGCTCAGGTGGTAGAAAAGAAGGTTGAAATTAAAGATGTGACAGTGATGGAGATTCCTGCTTATATGTTCATGTTTTGTTGTTTCAGAAGTTGAGTTTCCATGGTTCTTAGTTGTTGTCTTTGGAGTGTGTGGGCTGGCTGTAACTGTGATCTCAATCCTGCTGTCAAAACAACCAAGGTAAAGACTTTTGCTTTGTTGATTTTATGTATCTGTTACTTAAAAAAAAAAGGCTTTTTCAATTACTTCAAAATTGGAGGATTAGGAATCATTTTGGGCCTTTTTTTCCGTTCTTGTAAAACTGTATATAACTAGAATTTGTATGTATGAGGCCTTCACCAGGGGAATCTGATTATGTCGACAGCTTCTCTTCTCTTGCCCTGCAGAACGTTTTATTCAACATAATTTACATGGTTGATTTTCTTAGGCTTTGAAGGGGATTGTTTTTTGGTTCATTCTAATTTTATAAATGCTATTTTTTGTTCACATGCTGTTCAAAAGTCTCATACAAACCAATGTCTGTTTATTTGATAAATTTGATTTTGTTCTTAGACCATTCCACTAAACTCTGCTTCTTGAAGCCAAGGGAAGGAGCTTGAGTCATAAGGGAATATTTGGTCTCTGAATAAATTGTAGCTCTTTTAGATAACAGGAATAAAATGAAACAAAGCACACAATTGTGATATTTGTAAAAATTACAAAATTGTGTCATATACAAAAATTAAAGAATAAAACATATGTAAAAATGACTGAAAGGTCATCAAATTAATTAATTCCCTAATATGTGTGTTCAGGAATTGGTTTTGGCAGAATTCAACTTGGTGTCATATCAGTACTGTTCTACCYTATGGAGCAACACCATGGTCAAGACCCAGTGCACACATGCACATTGTCAGTGGTCTTGTGTACACACTTTGTAAATAAACACTGGGTAGTTTTGCATATAACAGCAAATGGTGAAATTTCACATAAATATAAACAATATGGTGCAGCTGAGAAGATCTAAAAAAAATTTTTACTAAGATAAATTTAAAAACCTATTACTAAAATAAYGGTTTTTATTTAAGCAAGCTCTCTGCTTTGACAGAGTTTAATTTCAGCAAGTTGTTCCCTGCAATGTAATCCCTCTCCCAGATTTAAGAGCAAAGCTGCTGATACRATTCATGACAAAAGTTGTTGTGTCACAATGGGGCAGTGTGCATGTGGGAGAAGGACCTAAGATCAGCACAGTGAGGAAGGGAGGTGGCTTAGTCTCAGAAAATCCTGGAGCATACCTCTGGTCAGAGTTTATAAATACCTTCCATGCTAATCATGAATTTTGTAAGCTTTTCTCCACTGAGGAAGCTTTCCTGGATGGCGGGTATGCACCCTTTCCCTCAAACTAGAGCATTTTGTGTTTGAATGGCAATGTATTCTGCAGAGAAGCAGCTTGCATAGGTGTTCCATAATGCAAAATATCCCACCTTGGTTTCCTCCTGATTCTGAAATATACCAATTCATATTTTCCTCAGTTCAGATCTCACAGGATCTGACTGAGTCTCTCTAGGACAGTTGCCACAGGTGTAAGTCGTTAGAGTTGAGAGATGAAAGCTTGAATTATGCTAGGCTAAGAAAGGAGTGGAGRGTAGTTCTCCCTCCCGAATGACTTCTCCAGGCAGTGAGTGGCAAAATCCTGTGTCCTTTTCATTAGAAGCAGTGCCCAGCCCAGTTAGAACACCTGATTTGTGGGCTCAACTGTAAACACAAATCCTAAACTGGTATCCTGACAGTCCAACYGGTGCACAGGTTACACTGCCCCTCCAGGGATTAAGTGGAAAATTGCTGGATTTCTGCCTCTCATTAGGCTTGCTGAGCAAAACACTGAGAAATTTGGACCTGCCATGGTTAAGCCAAAGGTACCTAAATTTCTCTCTAGGCACTCTTTGAGGCTTCTGTGACTCTCTCTGAACCCCAAAGTTACTAACAAGGCAGAAAAATGCTAACATTTGGCTTTATAGCTACCATTCCCATACCTTTCTTTCTAAAACAGGTAAGTAACACAGTATAAAGAAAATTTTCAGTTTTCCTTTTGTTTATCTGTTTTCAAAAGAAGCAGTGAGATAGAAGGGAAGAGATAGGCATGACCAGCTACTGTTGGACTATTAACAGAAAATCATCCTTCTATTAGAATGGATGCGGAGTGGGGTGGGGGGTGCTCCTGGCAGGGTTCTTTGGTATGAGGGGCTTTTTTTGTCCCCTCAAAAAATTAGGAATGCTCTCTATGAAGGATTAGAATAATGTGTATTTCCACAGCCTGTGAATGCACAAGCAAGTTACAAGTCCTTTCTCTACAGAGTAAAACCTTGCCTTAATTATATATTACTTGTTGCACTAATAACTCAAAAAGTGTCACAGAATGACAAACTACTAGCCGTCTGAATTTTTGCAGAGGTTTTTTGGTTGTATTTATTAATTCTAARGTAATTCACTCTTTCCACCATTTCCCATTTTCTGTTCCCCTATTTAAATTTATTGACCTTATGCAAGACTACTGTGTCCCTGAAAAATATTTTGGGAAAGTCACTGAATACGGAGACTTGTATCAGGTTCCATTGAAATGTATGTAAGAAGGGAAACTATTGGCAGAGCTCTAGGAATTTACTCTCTTTCTATACAATATTGAATTATCAAAAACCAGACTTCAAAATGGATTCCCACATATATGCAAGTGATTTCAACAAGGAAGCTTGCAGAAAACTTCTTGATTTGCAATGAGAGAAAAAATACTTTTTTTTTCCTTAGGAGTATTTGAAATATAAATATCAAATTTATTTTGAAACATTTGAGTTTTGAAGTAATTAAATATAAATGCAATGTAAGCCTGTCTTCCTTCTAAAATCCTCAAAAAGGACCACTGTCAATTAAAAACCATAATTTATTTTCTTCCAGGTTAAAAATGCTTATTTTYCCTCCTGTGCCAGTTCCAAAGATAAAAGGGATTGACCCAGATCTCTTGAAGGTAATACTGAGCTCTAAAAATCTACTGTGGGAGTCTTTGTAGTAATTGTAGATGACAACTGTTGTCCCAAGCAGAAAAATGTTGTAGAAGAAAATTCCGATATTGGGAGAGTTGCCACACAATTCATTTATATAAAATAAATTTGAAGCCCTTTGCAATTATCACATAGCTACAGTCACCTTAAATAAATTAACATCGTAAAAGGACAAGCATTTTTAACATTTCCTTTGTAAAATTCTTTWTTATTTGCTCTGTAGAAAGGAAAGCTTGATGAAGTGAATTCCATCTTAGCCTGCCATGACTACAAGACACAGCTATACAATGATGACTTGTGGGTTGAGTTTATTGAACTGGACATAGAAGACCCTGATGAAAAGAACAGAGCCTCAGATACCGACAGGCTCCTGAGTGAAGAACATCTGAAATCTCACGGTTGCTTGGGAGCAAAGGATGATGATTCTGGACGGGCCAGTTGCTGTGAACCAGATATTCCAGAGACAGACTTCAGTGCAAGTGACACGTGTGATGCCACCTCTGACAGTGATCAGTTCAAAAAGGCTACTGAAAAGGAAGAGGATCTCTTGTGCCTTGACAGACAAGATAATGAGTCACTTCCAAGCGTTGCCAACACAAACCCCCAGCGCCGGCACAGGAATACCCAGTCTGAAAACAGCCACCCATGGGCACCCTTTGYAGACAGCATTGAGTCACCCCGTCTGTCGGTCCATACCCAGATGAGCAACCAGAATTCCTTGACAAGTACTGACTTTTATGCTCAAGTGAGTGATATTACTCCAGCAGGCAGAGTTGTACTTTCACCAGGGCAGAAGTCCAAGTTGGGGAGAGCACAGCGTGAAGGCTGCACAGAACAAAACTTCACCATGGACAACACCTATTTCTGTGAGGCAGATGTGAAAAAATGCATTGCTGTGACCTCCCCCGAAGAGAATGAGCCACATGTTCAGGAACAAAGCTATAATGACGACGCCTACTTCACCACAGAGAGCCTTACCACTACTGTTGCCAATCTTGGAGCTCCAACAGCAGAGCCCCCAAGTTCAGAGATGCCTGTCGCAGACTATACATCAATCCACATCGTTCACTCTCCACAAGGCCTTGTGCTGAATGCAACTGCTTTGCCAGTGCCAGACAAGGAATTCAATGTGTCTTGTGGCTATGTGAGCACAGACCAGCTGAACAAAATCATGCCATAGCTCTGTTTTGACTAGATGTGCGTAGTGTTTCATAGCAGAGAGTCAGGTCTGGGCTTGTATGCTGAAACCAAAATGAAGTGAAAAAGTTTCTTGTGGTTCTTATAATTTTAGCTGAAATGTTGCAACGTAAAATACACATCAAAATATTCCTATTGTGTTCTGTAAATATTATCTATGATTTGTCTTGAGGCTGTTTYGTCTTGTTCTTGTGGGTGTTGATTTTTGTGAAATTAAACATTTAAATTACTGTTTAATATACAGTAAATAGTGCATTTTGATAAAGCTAAAAATCAGGGGGTTTAAAGTAAGAATTTAGAAAAAACTGCTGTTGGCAGAGATCTTTATATCAGTAATTGGGAATTGACCATATAGGTGAAAACACAAAACTAGTTAGACTAAATAACACATCTATTTTGATTTATATAAATTGGTAAAATATATTTTAATACTTTGGTCATAAAACCATAAATATTTTCTATTACACTACACACTGTAGTTGAATTATGGTGACCCATTTAAGGAATGTAATTGCTGCAGTCCTAAAAAGGAGTTTTCTGTTTTATAAAATTTTATTCACAGCTAGAAGAAAAAATAGATTTTTACAGAGCCATTTTGTACCTCCAAAGAATTCTGTAGAAAAGTTTTGAAATGTAGTAGGAATTTAAAAGTAACTGATTCTGTGACTTTCTTATGGTAACTAGTATATAAATACACATGCAATTTAAAGTTCTGTATAAAATTTTAAAATATACAGAATACTTGGGCAAATTGTTCTGTTATCAGATTCTAGTTACTAATAATAATAATAGACATTTTAGAAGCAAAATTTTGTTGACCACAGTATTAAAAACTGTGCAACGAAACTTTCACTGAAATTTTTTTAGAACACATGAATAAGCTCTGAAGACTTAGCAGCATAGTATCTTCATGTTTGACCAACTTCTGAAGCCCTTCCAAAGCCAAAGGTATCACTACATTTATTAGTCTGTGCCACAGAAACTCTTGATAAAAAAAAAAAAATTAAAAAATTAAGGACTTCAGAAGTTAGCCAGCAGTTAATTTTTAAAGATGTAACAGGATTAAAATACTTAAGTGGAACAAGGGGATCAAGTACAGTATTGTTCAAACGTGGTTTTCGTTTCTGCAGCCTAACAGCATCTCCTCTGACTGTGTTAGGCAAGCTTTCAGAAAGAAAGGAGAGAAGACTGAAACTCAGTGAGAAAGCTCTTTGTTCTTGCATTTGTTAAGAACCTGATGGAGCTTTGCAATTAATTGTTTCAGGACTTACCTTCCTAGTCCATGRTTTCATCACAGCAGGGTTCTTAGAAAGCAAATAGGAATTTCTTTACTCTGACCTGAACAGAAGTGTATGATGTGCAGCAAAATCAGGTCTTGCTTATGATGTCTCCATCTGAACTCACTGATGCTCTTTTTGTGACCAAGTGCTACACAACTGGGCCCAACTACTGGGTGGGATTTTTAAGTTTGGCACGTACTTTATGGTAAATGTGCATTAGATATTCTGCTAATTTGCTGCTATAATTTTCTAACAGCTATATTATTTAGTTTCATATACAATTTCATAGATGATAGACACTAATGCAAGTAATGCCTATGTGTGTGTTTGAAAGAAGTTTCTTACTCTGTTTCTATTGCCAAAAATAGTTAAATACCTCAGTCAAACTCAGAATGTCATTTTGGTACTTTACTGATCACACAAGCCATGAAACGCCGGTCAGAAGATGTGTCTTTCAATTTCTATTTAACTTTCTCTATGTTAGTGTTTTGTTTGTTTTTCTCAAAGTTTAATAAATGTATTGTCTTTGATCTGTCTGGACACAATGTGGGTTTTTTTCAGTAATTAGTTTTTTTAATGGAAGAGATTTTGTTTGAAGAAATCAAGTATTTCTCATTGAGTAAAGTATAATGCCACTTTCCTTAGAATAGAAACAATGCTTTATGGGATCAGTGTTTTCACTAACTGATATGCATGTATTTAAAAATAGAAGCACAGGCCTAAATTTATAGACTGAGAGACAGGATATTTTGCACCCAGAGCTGTCCCAGATGTGTTACGAGGTTAGCTGACCCACTGACCTGTGATGGCAGTTTGGCCCCCAGCCTGTACCAGTGGGGCTGTTCTTCCCCACTTTCAGGATCCTGCATTTGCCGTTGTTGAACTCCATTGGGCTCTCCAGCCTGTCCAAGTCTCACTCACCTTCTGGTGCATCAACACCTCCTTCCAGCCCTGTGTCATCAGCAAACTTGTCCCTTCCTYCARGTCATTGATCAATAAGATGGACAAGACTAGAGCCAGCACTGATCCCTGTGGAGCACGGCTGACTCCAGCCTCCACTGCACTCTGCACTGCTGATCACAACCCTCTGAGCTCTGACAGTCAGTTCTCAATCCACCTTATTGTCCATTCATCAGCACATGCTTCTTGAGCTTCCTGTGGGGGGATGTTATGGGGGGAAATGTTGAAAACCCTTGCACAAGTCCAGATAGACAGCATCCACTGTTCTCCCCTCACCCACCCTGCCAGGCATTCTGTAATAGAAGTCTGTCATACTCTGGTTATTCCCTATGCTGCATGCACTGGTCTATAAGCATTGCAGGGAGGTAATCAAGCATGCAAGTCTCCCAGGAGGGGTGCAAGAGAATTACCACAACTTCACAYACATACCCCCTTGGTGGCTGACCTGGTTCTTAACTTGGAAGGCAGCTAGGGAACATTTGGCACGGCTCTGGTTGGCCTGTTTTATTTCCTAATTGGATGCAATGGTGTGAGTGTTGCATTTTGGACTCTACTCCCAAGGTGCGTCACTTTAAAGCCCATCTCAAACACATTGGCAAGCCTGCATGTCAACTGTCTGCACTTGTTCCCTTTCTTAGAATGATGCTTTGCTTATGTATTACCTGGCAGAGTTTAGTCTGTATCAGTATCTCTATTAGAAACCATGTTGGTTCTCAAAAGCAAGAACTCAAGTTCTCTGCCAGTTGCCTTYTGGTGGCATCAAGAAGCCACTGGGGTTTGGAAGACTTTGGGTTTGAGCCTCTCTTCATCCATCAAAGACAATGTACATTTCTAATGCTTAGTGTTAGAAGAAACTGAAACAACATCATCTATAWCAGTTTCCATTAAGATAAATGATTTTGTCAAACAAAATGACTTCCATTACTATTCTTTACTACTTAGGCTGAAATATTTTTTCTGACTTATGACACAGGAAGTGAAATAGCAGATTATGAGAGTTTTTCAGACTGAATGAAAATTAACATTATCAAAGRTATATCTTCTATTTTTAAATGGAGTATTAAAGAAGAGTTTAGCTCYCTAGACCCGACAGGATTTTAGAAATGCTTTAAGCTAATGATTACAGTCTGTGTTGAGAACACTCTACTTTCATTTACCACTTAGTGTATGTAATTACATATGCATTGCCATAGTTGTAAGAATGAGAGAATTCTCTGGTTCAAAGAGAAACTTGAAACCATCTGACGTTTAGTCACAGGCAACTTTATTTACAGCATTGAGATTTACTGTCATGGGGGCCTAATACCAGACAAATAGGAGTGCCTGATGCMGAGTACCTGATTTTAGAGGGAAAGGGAGAAAATGTATGGACCATGATACTACTTTTATTAAAGAAGAAATGCAAGCTTGGGTGGTGAGAAAAGAAGTACTACAGAATATTAATTTTTCAATACCAGTTTTTCAATTYAACTCAGAACATCCATTTCACCGAGATGGTGGAATTGATAAGCATTTAACCAGCTTTTATAGTCAATGTACTTTGAGGAGATACAAGTGGATATAGTTCTGTCCTGGAATTAACTGTGTCTAAATGTAATTTTACAGTACAAATTCTTCTCTCTGACTAATCATTATTAATTGCATACACAGTTAGTGCTTTAACTGCCATAGAAACCATGCCCTCAGGCCACAGAGAAACACGATGTAGTCCAAATCCATTTCTGTGATTAGTATACTACTTAAACACTCTGGCAAAACTGTACTGAGCAAGTGCTTCCTTATCTTCTCTAATCATAACTATAAGAGGAAGTAATACTCACAAGTAGATAAAAGAGAAATTCTACCAATGGTGTCAAAACCAGGCACAGCAGAGCAGCTGCCAGCAATCAGCATGATATGCAGATGCAGTTATTACAACACATGCATCTAGTAAACTGGCACACTGTGGCAGGTTTGATTTTTTTATCACTACAGTCTTTGGTGTTTCTTTTGCATTATATATACTTCTTTATCTTAGTATATGAAAATTATCTGACTAATGATACATTAGCTTCATGAAATTAGTCTGAGAAAGCAGATTATTTCACACCATGTGGTAATTTGTGAGAAAACATAGGTGAACTCCTCTCCTTGACACTGGAAGGAATAAATCTGCAGAAGGTTTAGTGGGAGTAAAAGAAAAGTTTAGAAAAAGCATAAGAGCTTACTCGTACAACTTTCTGTCGCTTCCCATCACAGATGCTTACCAATGATGCTTCCACTGCTGTCCTTGGTCTGCTATTGAGCTCGTACTGAAGGAAATGAAATCTATTCCAAGAAACACCTGAGACCAGGAAAATGATTGGTCATATTTTTTTTCTGCAGTAGTAACTAACAGATTTTTTATTTTATATCTAATTTGCCTTGCATATGAAACCTTTCAATACTATACCAGAAAGACATAAAGTATAGAACAATACAGTGTCAGTTCACTTCCTCATACTAAAAATTTTCAGATCTATTTCACAGCAGCTATCTGAGTAGWATGTACAGTGCTGCAGTCTCAAGTTACTGAGGAAAGACCAACCTTGCCTTTCTGAATGAAAAACTCCTTCAGGAACAGTGTGAGCCAACTAAATGTACTTTTCTTTGGAAGAGAATAAGGCATGGGCTTGGAAAGTTACCAAAGAGAACATGATTTCTAGCTAAAACTGTGTTACCAAATGAGTAGGTCCAGCCCTTCTTCAACAGACATCTGAGCACTCTACAGTTGTCATCCTGAGATCATTATGAGCATCCTATCCTCCACCTGTAGCCTAGCTGTGTGGGATTCCTCAAGTGAAATTTTTAGCTGTGTGTTAGAATTCTTTCTTTCTCGTAGCATTTTTTTTTTTGATGGAATGAGAAATATTTACTAATGCCTGGAAATGCCATGAAAATGTTAAGTGACATTCTCTGAGCAAAAAATTGCTGAAAGAATGTGCAACTCTGGATAAGCTCCTGTGTTAACTGGAATTAGATTTGGAAACCTACTGTATTTGAAGATGCAAAATACTACTTGAGGTTCTTACACTTCGTCATCACACTCAGACTGCAAGAACAGACTACCCAAAGAATGACCTATTTTATGAAAGTCTACAGGGACAGATGGTACTGTGCTTTTATGGTGTAAATAATAGCAAAGTTGTTTCATTTTCTTCTGATATAATTAGTATTAATTAGTTAATTTCTACCACTCATGAACTGATCAATTACAATAACCTTCTGAATTTATTTGTTCAGGAATATATTAAATTACTGTTTAGAAGCAAAAATGCATGCTTTCAGCTTGGCAGTGAAATTGAGCACTGTCTTAAACAGAAATACAAGAAAGCAGACACATMTGTGTCTTTATGAGTCACATTCCTGATTCCATAGGATAATAAATTATATTTTAGGTACAACTATTTCTTTCTAACAAGACTACTCCCAACCGGTTAACCTCTTTAGGAGAAGGACKAATAGAGAAAAATATGAAACAAAATAGCATCCAAATG